CAGTAACAGGGTATTGGGCAGGGGGGAGGGTATATACATACATAATGAGTGAGATGTGCACCATCTGGGGGATGGTCATGCTGGAAACTCAGACTTGTGGGGGGAGGGGGGAAAGGGCATTTATTGAAACCTTAAAATCTGTACCCCCATAATATGCTGAAATAAAAAAAAAATTATCATGTTTAGGCAGGAAGTACTGAAAATCTTTTGGTTCTTAGAGGGCCTGAACCTGCGTTTATTTCTTGATAAGAACTAGGTCTGCATTAATAGTCCATTTGGGGTAGATGCTACTGCTCAGCAGGAGTAAAAGACACCTTTAAGCACAAAATAAGTAGTATAAATGATGAGTAGAAAAGAGACTCAGACTCTCCATTGTCACGTGACTTTTTTATACTGGAAGGCTTATAATTCATTAGGCAATTCAATATTTTGAACATTTAATGTGCACTCTTTCAGTCTAAGAAGACAACAAAATCTTGATAACTTGTTTTTTAATCCATAAATTGAAAGTCTTTCTCCATTTATATCAGAATTCTATTTCTAGATTTCCTCATTCAAGCCGAGGGTGATCAAAATATGGCCCATAGGCCAAATCCAGCTTACCGCCTGCCTTTGTAAATAAAGTTTACTGGAACACAGCTAACAAACTGTGTTTACATATATCAATGATACCGTCGCACTAGAATAGCAAAGTTGAACAGATGCTATAGAGACCATATGGCCTGTAAAACCTAAAATATCACCATCTGGACTTTTGCAGAAAAAAAGTTCACTGACCCCTGATATCAGAATCACCTGAATCAGCTGGAGAATTTCCTAAATGCAAACTGGCTAAGAAGTTATCCCCAACTTGTCTCTGCAACCACAATCCTACAGAGTCAACCTAAATTATTTGCAGGGGGGAGGCGGACAGGAAAAAAACATTAATGTTAAGCCAGAGAAGGTAAAAATCTTAAAATAGGAAAGTATCTCAGAAGTCATTTAATTGAGTACTTACATTGTTGAGAGCTCACTATCTGATATGGAACTTTTTGTGGAGTACTTATGAAGCTGTCCCTAAACGTTGTTACTCCTAAATTATCTTCTTTATTGCCACAGTTTTGCTTTCTCTATCTCATCACATATTTAGAAGCTATAAGAACTTCCCCTAGGTCATTTTACCCCCAGTGCTTTAACCATAATTCAAGCAAGATAATTTACCATCATCATCTTTGTCATCACAGGATGTGCTCTTTTGCTAATATTCATCTTAAAATATGGCAAAGGAAATATAGTACAATATTCTAGAGTCAATATTACCAAGGCAGAGTACAGAAAACTATTACTTGACTGTGGGTTATGGGTCTCTATAAACATAGCTTAAGATGCAAAGATATTTTCTGACTTGATTACTTTAAAATATACAAAAAGTATGTTTCCTATATTTTAAATTCAGATTTCAATATCAGAAGTGTATTATGTTTAAAACACTTATGTTTTAAAAACATCAACATTATTATCTGCATCAGAAAGTCATTAAAAATAAGAAAGCTAGTTTGAAGCATAACTCTCCAAATTTAGGGGCTATATCTATTACTGACTCAACTGGCAGCCTAATCAACTCAAACAGGCACCATTTGCTAAAATAAGCAGCCTGTAGTTTCTAGGTATCTATGTTCCACAAATATAGAAGCTGCTTAAATGTTTGAATGATCGGTGGCTTTACAAATACTTGTTTCTGATTTTTAAGTGACACATTTACAAAGGTGTATATTTAGAATCATGTTGACGTTTTCCACTCACATTCTTAGATTAATGTTTAGTTTTGTGGCTCAGTTAATCTCTTTATTTGCTCATGTTTGGGCTCAGAAAATGATACTCCAAAGCATGGTGATTTGACATGCTGAGTTCTTTGAACTTAAAGAAGCAGTTTCAGAACCAAGGTCTCTCTGACCTTCCCCTGCACCC